CGTGCCTTGGAGGGAGCGGAGCTCGGCGCTTCCCTGCCAGCCCCTTGCTGCAGCAGAAACGTTTCAGTTCCACTCGCTGTTAATATTATATATTTTTAAATTATTTCCCCCCAGTTCATAGCGGTCTCCTTACAGAAAGGGCTGGGAAGCTGCGTGCTTTGGGATACCTGGTTCTAGATGGAAGCAGCGCTGCTGGGGATGGAGCATGGCCCTGCTGTGGGACGGGGTGTCGGCTGTGGAACACCCGGGGTTTGTGTGGGAGCTTCTGCGCTAATTAATTAATTAATCATTAATTCCTGTCAGAGAGGCCAAAAGTGTAGGAGTGCTGAGAAGCTCGGAGTGGGAACAGCTGGGCCTGGCTTTGGGGCTGCAGTTGTGTGTTGTGAGCTTCTGATTTGTGAAAATAAACATGTAGGCTGTCATATCCTAGAATTATAGAACGGTTTGGGTTGGAAGGGACCTTAAAGATCATCCAGTTCCATCCCCCCTGCTGTGGACAGGGCTGCCAGCCCTTAGATCAGGCTGCCCAGGGCCCCCTCCAGCCTGGCCTTGAATGCCTCCAGGGATGGGGCATCCACAGCTTCTCTGGGCAACCTGTGCCAGTGTCTCACCACCCTCTGGGTGAAAAATTCCTCCTAATATCTGACCTAAATCTCCCCTCTCTTAGTTTAAAACCATTTCCTCTTGTCCTCTCGCTATCTGCCCATGAAAAAAGTCACTTTCCCTCCTGTTTCTAAGCTCCCTTCAGGCACTGGAAGGCTGCAATGAGGTCTCCTTGAAGCCTTCTCTTCTCCAAGCTCAACAAGCCCAGCTGCCTCAACCTTTCTTCAGGAGAGGTGCTCCAGCCCTCTTATCATCTTCCTGCCTCTCCTCTGGACCCGCTCCAGTAGCTCTGCATATCATCCTTGAAGGATCTAGATGAACTAGTGGGGTTTTATTACCTCTTATCCCCTGTTGTTAGACAGCGTGTGGTGTTTAAATAGACAAGAAGAAAGTCCATACATCGGTTTACAGGTGTGTTTCAAGCCAGGTATTTCCTATCTAATTACAACTTATTAAGCACATGGCAGCTTCTAAGTCTGGAAAGGGTGGGAATGTTGCCCTGGAATCAAGTGAAATGGGGAGTTTCACTCTTTCATGGTTGTTAGTTGAGGTAGGTTAGCCATATGAATTACCTACATGATAACAAATGGGTAATCTGTTAATTAACCCTATTAGTGGTTAATACTCCATGTTTGCTCATGAAGTTGTAAGAATAGAGATATGTTAAATAAAGATAACTGTGGAAGTCCGTGAAAAGTAGCTCTTTCCTAGATAATAGTTGTGTTTTGCATTTTTTTGGTAAAAATATTTTCTATTTAAAAAGTAAATTTTCAGAAGTGTGTCGTCCTCCCACATTAAAAAGCTGGATTCTAAATTAAACCTGAGGACTTATCTTGCATTTCAGAGCTATTAAAGAGTCAGTCAAATTGTGTATCAAGTGAATGGTACTATGTAAATTCCTTTTCTCATGCTAAATATATATGCATGTGCATACATACAGTTCTGATGGATGTTGACCTAAAATGTCCTTAAAAATACTTGGTGAAGGAGATCCCAAATATACTCTAGATAATTTAACTCAGTTACAACTACTGTATTATTTGTGTTTTCTTTGAGTATTCATAAGTAAATGTGAGGTTTTTGGGATGCTTCTTCAGGATTTGTGAAAACCCTGCAGACTGAGTAAACATGTTTGTGTTGGACATCCCGAGTGTGTCACGTTTAAACTATTCAGACAGCTCTTGTGTCATGAGCCCACCGCAAAGGAACATCTTGGACTCACTGTGCGTGCCCTGTCTCTGGTTTATGAATTAAATTTGACCTGAAGAGCAGTGTGCAGTGTATATGCTCAGATTATCTATTTAGGGTGTATTGAATCTGCTGCTTGTATTCTGTGTGTGAACAATAAAACACAGCTCTCATTTTTTTTTTGAAGTATTACTGTTTCTCAGTATTTTCTAATAGTGGTTTGCGATCAGCTCGCTAATGAGCTGTCGAGATCTAACATCTGCTCTGTGTGAAATTATAAACAACAATTACAAAAAGCTGCCAAGTTGTAGGACTGAACTTAGTGTGTTTTTTTGTGTGAAATGTGATCGGTGCTTTCCTGTGCCCCAAACATTTGCATTGTTTTACCTTCAGTTATCTCATTAAGCTGCAGAGAGGCTGTACCTTCATTCTTGCTAACGCTTTTTAAAATGTCTTTTATCATGAGTGTTTTCTTCTTGAGCATGTGGAAGATAATTTTATGAGAATCTGAAATGTTCTTGCAAAATTTTGAGGAGATGCTATTTGCTTTCATAAATTGGAAACTACAATAATCTTTTCTTGTTTTCCTCTTTTGATAGGGCCACGCAGCCAGTGGTTACTTTCCCTGCTGGATTCATCATGATAACTCCAGCTTTTGAGCTGACCCAGGATCCGGATTTTCTTACAATAATAATCAAAGTACCTTATGCCAGAGCTTCAGAGTTTGATGTGTATTTTGAAGGGGAAGACTTTAAATTTTATGCTAAGCCGTACTTTCTCAGGCAAGTAGTGGAAGGATTTAAAAAAAAAAATGAACTTCATAAAATAAGTAAAAGCCAGTAGAGAATAAACTTACTTTTGGTTCAGAACATTCCTCATCTGCAGCCGTTGACTGTAGACAGCCAATTTCATGCAAAGAATTGTTTTTATGGATCTGGCCTCTTTGTTTCTAGGTGTTAAATCACATTAAATGGAGTTTAAAGAAGCACTTTTCTAAATCTACTGTACAATAGATTTTTTAATTGTAAAATGGCAAGATAATTCTCTGGATGTATGCAAGTTTTGTAGAATAAGTGTGTCTTTTTTTTGTGTTGAGAGCCAGATAGAGTGTATTTGGTGAAGGATGGGTTTTGATGCACTTGTAATGATGTAAGGGGAGAAAAGGCATGTGAGAGGATGCAGTAGGGAAGAAGACTTTCAAGTAGGTGGGGATTTAACTGCCTGACCTTCGTTAGTATTGACATGAGTCGTGTAGTTAAGTCCCTTGTGCTGCTTTTGGAATTGCCTTATGTTTTTATAGGCTGAGATGGTAAGTTTTGGAATTAGTCAGGCATTGAATGAAGCATCTCATTTTTTTTCCTGCAGATTGACACTGCCTGGAAGAATTGTAGAAGATGGCAGAGAAAAAGCATCTTATAATACAGACAAAGGTATTAGCTAATGTTCTTAGTGTATGTGTTATTAAAAATGCTGCAGATTCTCTGATAATTTATACTTTGCACTGGAATTGCACAGAACTTTACAAAGTGTACAATACTGTAAATAAATGTAAAGTTTCTCCTATGTTATGTAGCATAACGAAGTCTTTTTCAGGATTTATTGTACATACTTAGGCCATTCTTAAGTACAAAGGCTGTGTTCAGAACTATCCTAATAATGAAAACATAATGTGCAAGTCCCCTTCAGGCCCTGCAGGGACTAGACATGTTACTGCACCACGATCATTGGTCTAGTAAATCTGCAAAGTTGGTTGGAATAGAAAGGAGATAATCCTGAGGCAGTCTCTTGGCTACAACTTAAGAGAGAAGATATTAGCCTTTCTGCACATCTTGAGGTGGAAGGTGTTTCTGGAATAAAATACATATCTTCTGAAATTAATAACATTCATTATTTAAAAGAAGGTAATGAGACCTATAATTCGCTGCTTTTGCAGTTTTTATTATGTGCTTGATTTTAGGCGATAATCAGATTACTGAATGTAGTTTCCTATGATGATCTGTTGATTGCTTGGTTGGTGGAAGGATTAAAAATAAAATAAAGTTTGTATTTTATTGGTTTGTGTTTTTTACAATGTGAGTCAAGAGACTAGAACTGGTTAAATACAGTCTTTCATGCTTTATCATTAAAATCTTTGGGTTTTGTGAAACTTGGGCAGTAAGGTTAAAAACGTGCACAGAGACCAATGTGTAATAAAATGGTACCTGTGTGTGTCCCAGTTTCTGTGAGCCTTTTTCATTAGAGGAAAAATGCACATTCTTTTTTTGTCTTGGATATTTTAATGCAATAACTATATTCTGACTTTCCTTTAAGGAACTTTTACAATTCGGTTACCTAAGGAGGTTCCTGGTCAGTATTTTGAAGGACTGGACATGCTGACATCTCTTTTAGCACCAAAGAAATCAAGATCAGCAAAACCTTTAGTAGAAGAGATAGGTATGGCAAAGAAATGTTTATACTGGGGATATATGTACATAATGGAATAGTTATAGGCCTCCATAGTGTTATATGTAAAAAAACCCAAAACAATATTTATTTTATTGTCTAGTGCAAGGTACAGGAAGGGTGTGAATAAATCTGGAAGTATGGATAAGAATAGAAATAAACATGCCATAGGTGACATACATGTCATCTTTACAGGCTTAGTTATGTTTACATTTTTCCAAAACGTGTCTAACATCTGCTAATCCTCTGCAGATCTTTGTTCCCCTCTAGTGGCTGGATAATACACACACACCTGAGTCTTCTGCTTTCTCCCAGCTAGCACAGCTGGACTCATAGCTCAAATGGTAGAAGCTAATTAAAACCACAGGTTCTCGTGGTTGACTTGCTTAATACTGGTATTTAACAGACAACAATGTTTGACTGTGTTTAATTTTTTAATACCTGTCTTAAATTATTGATAACATTGCTTTGCATGAATAAGGATCATCAGGATTCTCTGAGCATCAGGTTCTGATCTCGTTGAAATCAGTGGAACAATTATTTCAGTCTTTGAGGGAGTATACTTAAAAACTTCAGTGTTCCTGATCTTCTTTTTTGAAAGTTGGAGAATTTGGAGCAGGAGCTGTGGATTACTGATGTAAACATCTGCCTGTATGATCCTGTTTGTATAAGATTTCTTAGTAAAATGAAAAAGGCTTATTGTGTTGTCAGTGTTTGCCTTTCTATTAAATCATGTGTATTTGCTGTGTAATAATTTTCTTTCTCTGACCATGCAATGTATACAGCTGCCTCTGCTGAATTGTCTGAGGAGGAGGAAGAAGAATTTGACTGGGAGGTAGAGCAGACACCTTACAAAGAAAGTGCAGAGAACACTCTACCAGTACAGTACCGTTATGGGTTTGGGAATCTGCGGTCAGGGGTGTTCCAGCGGCTGCAGGTAGATGCATTTTTGTCTTTTCCTATCACAAAAAAGTTCTGGGTAACTTTCTGGTTGGATAGGCTTTCTTCCTGGCTCATGCTGAAGTCGGGAGGGGATCATTAGGTAACAGTTCTCCATCATCCCATTCTGTGACTGAGAATGTTCTGCTTTTGCATGCAGTAGTCCAGACAAATCCTTCCTGCAGAAGTAGGGGGTGGTTGGGGCTGAGTTAATTGTGTGACTGAATCAACAGGCTGATGTGTTTCTGCAGTAATTTCAGTGTTAGAGGAAAGGGCTGAATGAGGTCTTTGGTAAAAACGGGCTCTGGGAGTGGGCTCCTGTCCCAGGACAGCTCAGCAGGGCACGTGCCAGGTGAATAGTTCTGGAAAGCTGCAAATAGTCTACAGGCTGTTAGCAGTCTGCTGTTAACACTTGTTTTATATTTGGTATTGTCTTCTATTCTGACTTCAAACCTATTTAACAACAATGTACAATATATTTCAGATGCCCTTAATTTTAATTTATTTTTTAAATAAAAAATTACTCAGTTAAAAACATTTTAAAAAACTGGCCAATCTATGAATCCTGTTATGATTGTTGCATTAAATCTTTGTCATTGTGAAATTCATGGTAATTTTTTCTTTGTACTTTTTATTTTACCCTCGATTTTCTCACAAGACAATAACTTTTAAAGTGTGTGCTCTTCAAGGTGTCTGTCCACTTCGTGTCTGTGGGGTTTACTAGGGTTATGCTGAAGCCCTGGAATTTACTTTGGTGGATTAATTGATAGGATAGGAGCTTTAAAATGCAGTTACTTTCCTCTTGTGCATTTAGCAGTTTCTTTAATTCATGAATAGATTGAAGCTAATCTACAACCTGTAGCATGGTAGATAGTGTAATAATATTTGTGGTGTACAGAGCTTTTATGATTTTTTTTTTTAGTGTTCTTACTCTAAGCAATTTAAAGTTGTAGCTGTTTGAGGGAACTTAATTATGTAACTCCAATTCATTATTGCATGAATTGGAGTATTTTCAGCATTTGGAGCAGAAGGATTGCTATTTATGGAGGAAGTATTTACATTCTGTTGGGATATATACACTGGCTTATTACCATGAAATTAATGAAGAAGTACATTTTCCATCAGCATTAATGTACCAATATTTAATGATGCTTAAAAGGGCCCATTAATTAATGGATGGCCACTTCAGAGTGTGAGAGTAATTTCAGAAGTTGCAGGGAGAGTATCTGTGATTTTAATCTGGTCTTTGTTGTGGTTGTGTGCTTTTGTTAAGCATCGCAAATGTTAGCGTAATGCAAAATAACCTGCCTGCCTTAGGATAAAATGGGCTGAATAGATTCATAACATCATGAATTGTAAGGAGCTTTGAATAATTGAATTTTCTCGAATTTTGATGTTTTATTTGCACAATGGAGCCTGAATTGGGAAGATTTCAGAGGGGGGTGAAGTACATCTAGGGATTTCAGTGTGATGCTGATAAACTTCCTTCCTAAACTCTTGCTAAATAAGTCTTGCATATGGTAGCTGTGGCTCGGTCCTACAATTTGTGTTCCATTTGCAGGATGAACTCAGTGATGTTATTGACGTCAAGGATCCAGACCAAACTTCGGTAGATGAACGTAGGAGGAAACGCCTGGCAGCTGAAGCTGCCAAGTTTGACCCTGATCATTACCTGTGAGTATTGATTTACTTCACCTGGCCATGTCAAGGTACCTCAATTGAAAAATACACACTTTTGCTTTTCATAAATGATGAGTTTTAAGATCACTTTCGGAAATAATAGCTTTACTTTTTATTTGTGTGTTTCTTTGTCTCATCACAGCAGGTCTTTGAAGATTTTCTTAAGTGTGACACCAACACAAGACGTTGCTCATCTGTTTTGTGGTTACTTTACTGTTTAATTACTGCTTAAATCTGTATTCAAGCAAGGGCTGCTGTGGACTATTGCTGAACGTTATTTCATAGTTTACCTCTTCAGCAGCTGAGTAGCCAATCCCTGACAGAATTTTGGGTTGTGGATGTCAGAACTTCTGTTTTCCTCTTGTGAAACAAGGATTACTGAACCATCCTGATCTGTGAGAGAGTAAATTTGAGTTTTGAAGTTAAGAAGATTTTTGTCTAGGCCAGTTTTTTTTTTTTTTGCCTTTGTTACATAAAACCTGTTGTACAGCAGAATGAGGAAAACAAGTGGCAAACAAGTGTTCTGTTGCCTTTCAGGAAAATGAACACTAGCTGATATCTTTAAGCTACTTTATAAAGACACCAAAGGAAGGAACAGAAAGTCTGTCAGTGTGAGAGTAAAGCAAATTACGTTCTGTTTTTAGTAGACTGGGCAGACTTTGTATTATGATTAAGAAGGTATTAAGAAATTTCCTACATTTTTTTTTTTCATTTCTCACTATTTATAGTATTGTTTGGCTTGAAGAAAATCTAAAATGATAAGAGGAGGCTTAGCACTTTAATCCTTTACTATAAATCCTCCCAGAATTACTAGATTGAGATTTTTACCACAATGGCTCTGTGCTGGGATGGAGGTAATCTCTCTTCCAGAATTCGTGTACAACTCTTCTTTTTCCATCTTGCTACAGCATGCCTCTCTTTTACCTAAAAGTCCATCTCCACCCCTACTTTATCTTTGCCCTCCAGCTGCATACCCTTCCTCCCCAAAGTATATGCCATTTTAAAGTGGGAAAGGTTCCTGGTAAAATCAAGTTTGCTGCTGGTGATGTTGTCTGAGAAGTCTTCTCTTTGGAAGGTTTTCCTTTAGATACATCCAGAACAAATTGGGTTTGTTCACCTTCATGTCATGCTGCAAGCTCATTGATTTCCTAGGCTTCTGGGTGGCTCAGGAAAGGTGGAGGAAGTAAGGAAGGGGTACTGTAAGATATAAGAACATTGTTTATGCTTTTAATAATGATTATTTTCTGGTTTTAAGTCAAAGAAAATATTTCTAATACCTGGTAAATAGCCTGGAGTTAAGTAGGTGTATTCTATGTATGCATTCAAATATACCCACATGCACTGTAAACTGAAATTAATAGCCTATGACTTCTTTTTTTTCTCCTAGAGCTGATTTTTTTGAAGATGAAGCTATTCAGCATGTTTTAAAGTACAAACCATGGTGGGTTGATGCTCATAAAAAAATGACAGCCTTTCATGGAGAAAGCCATCAGGAATATGACACTCATACATTTGGTGAGCATATAGATGTGTACACCTGTTGCTTGAATGATAATTACTGTGTTGCCATGTTATGTTCTCTTGTTCTTAAAGGGAAAAGTATGGTTTTACCCTACAATTTTCAATCTTAACCATTCTTCATAGAGGAGTAGTCTGTTACTTCTCTGGTCCTCCAAGAAGAAAGTTTCTCTGAGGGACTGTTACACCGGAGTCTTTGAGATAGTTGTGTGTGGAGCAGTTCCCAGAGTATTGTAAAGTGGTAATTTAATCTTAAGCATTTATCTATTAGTTATGTAGTGTAGTGTGTGATCTCTTGTCCACAAAACAAATTTGGAAGTTAACTTTTCATAAAGGTCATTCTAGAATGTCAGGTATTGATGAAGAAAAAGTTCCTTTTTAAGGGTATGCTGTAATGTTTAAGATTTCAAAGGAGCTGCTAGTGTCAGTAAGTCATAGCATCTGACATCAAATCAAACTTATCTTTGTGTAGTCATTGTAATAGCTAGAAAATGGGTCCTTTGTTGCTGGTGCTTTTCTCCTCTTTTTCACACTTTTCAAGTAACTGTTCTCCTTTTCCTTGTATTTTCAATGGAAAAAATAGTCAAACCTGGTTTTTGTGCCCACTTCCAAATATGCAGACACTTCACAGCAAGTCTTCCAGTCAGCTGTGGAAGATTGTACCAATATCAGCCCTTATCTCTGAGCACGTCTTCTGTAGGATGTTTTATTTTATTTACACAGTACCAGAGAAGTCTGTGGCATTTATTACTACAGTGTTATTTTTCTGGATCTTGGAGACTTTTTTTCAAAGGAAAATCTTTGTGTCCTTGTAGAAATTAAAAAGGATGGTTTCAGGTTTAGCAGATGACCTTGTAACAGGACTGTTAAGATAGCTGTGATTACCGTTCTCTACGCACTGACTGCAGAGAGCATTACAAGTTACTATTGTGCATATTCTTTTCTTGTCCTTTGTTCATTTCCTATGTGGTATGAAAATCCAATATTACTAAAAAAGATAATCTCTTCACCAGAGGTTCTGAACAAATGTTAGTGCACTAATAAAGCCTGCACTTTCACGTTTTCTACAGAAGAACAATGAAAGTGGAGTAAATGTTGTGTGGTTTACTGTGAATGTAATCTGATCTTCATTACTGGTCTCTTTTCAGTCTCTGAGGTCAGAAATTGTTAATTATATCCATCATAAGCATTTGACTTAAAAAGCATTAAACAAAGGTACAAGAGGCTTGGAAATAGAATAGTGAGTGGTCTTTTGTTTGTTTTTACCCATTCACTCCTTAGTAAATGAAACACTGCCAGTGTTTGCCTATGTTAAGGAATATAATGGAAATGAAGAGCTGCTGGGTGATTCTATCAATAAAGAATATTTTTACTCCAAACTGAGATTCTGAAGAAACACACATAGGTGTGTTGCTGGGTTTTAGGGGCAGCAACAACAGAAACTACTCAAAAGCCTGGCAAGCCTATTAATGAAAGTTACACAGAAAATAGGGCTACATAAAGGATCATCTTTTCTTTAAACCATTTGTTATAACAGATATATATATATTTTTTTTTTTTAATCTTCCTTATTAAATCTGACCTTTGTATGGCTGAGTGAGGAGCCTCATGTAGTTTTGTGGATTTTGAGGAAATTTAAGTAGCATAGGAGGCTATCTGGTGTTTAGGTTATGTTAATGACAACAACCCACCGTTTCCCTTAGAAAAACCTCAGTTTTGAGAATGTTATTACTGCTGTTTGAATGGTGAGGGTGGCGGGGGAGGGTGAGCAGCTGCATGAGGATCTGAAGCCATTGGAGATTCCTAAACAGGAGTGAGTTGTGGTGAAAGAAACCACCGTGAGAGGGAGTGCAGGTTCCACTTGAAGGTCTCTTATGAATGGAAATGCGAAAGGGCAGGAGGTGAGTCCAGGCTGCTGGACTTGGAATCTGATCATCAATAGGATGAGTTCCTGGGTTGTTGTATTGCTTTTATGCTTTATCCAGTCAAAGGGATGGTCTGGCTTATCTGAGCTTCAGATTCAGGAATTCTCAGAAGCTGAATGCAGTTTGACTGCTTATCTGCATTAATATGTATTCCAGTACCTGTGCTTAAAAGGCACATGAAAGAAACAAGGACTGTGCTAAATGAAGGACCTTCTTTACTACCTGAGAAGTTTTCTGTTATTCCAAGAGAACTGGGGAGAAGCCTGACTGCATTAGTTGTGCTCTGCAGCTTGAAGGGTAAGGTGGATGTTACTGGTACTAGAGTGTGCTTGTAGTAAGAAGCCTTTGAACACTAGTGCTTAGCTGTAAAAAGCCAAAGGGTACTCAAGCACAGTAGCTCTAGGGGCACAAGTGTTAGACGTATCACAGTCTGTTTTAATGTATTTTATGAAGTGATATGAGTCTTTGAACCTGTGTGTGTGTATCCCCTTGCAGGTAGGTGTGAGGTCAAACTTCTTTTTTTAATGATAATGAGATACAAATGTCCCCTGCTTACTTTTGAACCTGTTTAAGGGTATAAAGGGGGAGGGATTGAAACCTTCCTGCAGTTTCTTTTTATTGCTTACAGAAAAGAGGAATACCCAGATTTATTACACTTCCTGAGTTCCAAACTCATGCCTTATATTAAGGAAAGCCTCAGAAATAATTTGCATGATCTTCCGTGCTGAAGTGAAGTTACTTCTCCAAGCATACAGCTTGTAAAGACACTTCAAATATCGTACAGCCTGTGGTACACAAGCTCATAGAAACATCTGTCTGCCTGTGTGAAGGAAGGTTTTGTTCTTGATTAAACACGTGCTGTCCAAAGCCGTTACCCAAGGACATGGAAACTGAGAGATACGGAAATTACAGCTGTCAAACGTGTAACATCTCATACCAGGGAGATCTGCTACCCTCCAGCATGAAATGGGGACTCTTTTTAGAAATGGTAATGTTAGAGTTGACAGGAGATTACAGTACAGGGTACCACAGTATTAGGATATTGGCACTAGAATTTGACACCTGGTACCTTTAGAGTCAACCTGTATTTGTTCTGTTATTGCTGCCATTATGACAGTTCCCACCTACACAGTGTCTTTGGAATCAGGAATGTTGTTGGGAACTGACTCCTCAAGTTACTACAAAGTGAGTTTAGCGTGGAAAGTGACATAAAAGTTAGCAGGTTTTTTGAAAGTATGTTTTCTTATCCAAAACCACTAAATTAAGATAATTAACTTTTCGTTTCTTCCTTTTGCTGATTTATATTGATGTATCTTTGTTTTTCTCTTCATTGGTTTCTTAGAACAAAAAACTTCATTACTTTTGTCTTTATAATGTCCTCAGCTACAAGGAATAATTAGAAATACTGATTTTTATTTTCCCTTGGCTTTACAATTAACTGAAGATTATGTTTGGTTGATTACTGCTCTTACTTTCATCCCTGGTTATTCTCTCTTTTGTTTTTACATCATCAGATTTTTTTAATGTCTCATTACCAGATTTGTTCCTTTTGGATCAGCTCTTCTCATTAGCATTTGAAGTCTTCAACTCTCTTCTGTCCTTGCCTTGAATCTAATTTTATTTAACCTTTTTACTTTAGCTCCTGTACATGGTGTGTGCATTTTGTCTTTAAGTTCTTCTTTTATTATCCTAAGTGTCTTTTCTTTTGTCCTTTTTTGCATTTTACTGTCTGTTGCAGTGATTCTCTTGCCCTTTCTTTTTTTGTTGTTGTTTTGTTTATTTCCCCCCCCAGGCTTGTTATTTACCAGGCAGCCTTTGCAGTATGGCTGAGGAACCAGAAGGAGTACTAGAGAGCAGGTTTCACCATCATGTTTGTAGCAAAATATCATTTTTGAAATGGACATTTTCTAAAGCTGAAAGGCCCAGGTTATGTTCACACTGACAGTGTCTGATGCAAGTCAAGTAATACTCTGTAAAGCCAAACTAATTACACAGCCTTTCCCGTGAGGGAGCAGAGCTTTTGGAAAGCTTGCTTTCTGCTGCTGCTGAAGTTTACATTGGAATCTTGCTTTTGTAACAGTCACATTCAATTTAGTTAAAAAGCTCATTTTTATTCTACCTCAAATTTCATGACTGTAAAAACTCCTTTTTAGGCAACACAGTAATCTTGGAAGGCTCAGGCTGACATATGTATTTAATATTCCATCTATATGCTTCAGGGATAGTTTATTTTGTTTACAGTAACCTATCATGCTTACCAGTGACCATTCTCTTTCTGATCTTTTTATAGATTGAGAAGCAATTTCTTTGTAAGGATCCACCTTTCAGTAGGGCTCTGCTCAAATATACCATTACTGGTAGATTCATAAATTTAAGATTAATCACTTTTCTCTTTTATTAGATTTCTGCATCTATTCTCTCTACCTGTTTTATTCAATCTTCTGGACCTTTGTAGCATGTGTACCTTCCTGGCACTGTTCTGCTGCACAGCGAGTATTCTTTGTGTGAGGAAAGATTGCTGTTTAGTCATGCAAAATTCTTAACATATAAATAGATAGATCTGGTAAAGTATCTCAGATTTTAAAAGGCAAGAACAATAAGACATGGAAGAAAGAATGATGTGTGGTTTCGATATGGTTTATAGGAACTGCAGGTTTCATGAAGAATAATGACACAAATCAGTATAAAGGAAATTGCAAGATCCAGGAAAGACTGTCCAAGTCCAGTGACTTTATGCAGAATGCCTGGAGGAGGAAGGTCAGAAGCCATATGAAGGAAATGCACTGTAAATGTTAATTTGAGGAATAGAAAGGTGGAAGCTTGACATGGGGGAAAATATATTTGTGAAGGAGCTAAAGTTTGAATGGAAGAATTGCAAAGAAAAGGGAGTTACACTGTGGCTAGAAGCAGCATGATTTTGGCACTGACAAATGTACAAAACATTTGAAAATCCAACTTAAGGAAAACTTGCAGATTTAGTACTTGATAAGTAGCCGCAGCAGATGCTGTTTTACATTATATTAATGTTAATTTTGTGCAAGTATTGATAGATAAAACTTTGGTAATGCAAGTGTACAAAATACAGGCTTAATATAGCAGAAAATGTATTTAAAATTTGACTTGTTCTGTTAATCTTCTACTATGTACTTGTGTTTTTGAATTAGGAAAACAAAGTAGGTAGTGTTTTTGACGTGTTAATATGAATTTCAGGCCTGGATAATTTTATTATTCAAAAACTTTAAGGAATGGATAGATATTTGTTTGAAAAATTGAAGTATTTTCTCCAGAGAGAGAAATTATCTTTAGAATACCTGGCACTTTGCAGTGAGTAAATGAACATCTTGTAACATTTACCTTTGGGAATGGTCTGGTCTAGGTCGTCTTTGCTGTTGTCCAATAAACTCACATTTGCTGTGTTTACAGTCCAGTTGCATATGTTATGATGCCTCAGAGTTTGCATTTTAGAGGAAAAAACTTCTGTCTTGTATGGTTCATGAAATTCACTGGGAGTTTCTTTGCTTTCTACTTAGAAGGAAAATATGGTTCACACTTATATTCCTCTAGAAAGTGGATTTTAGGGAATCTAACAAATACTTGTTAGTAAACTTCAAGAATTCAATTTATGTGCTCTCAGTGTTAGACCTTTTCTGATCTAATGATAAATTTTAAGCTTTATGAATCTGATCTGCTGTAGTACTCTGCTAACAAACTTTTATCTGTTTGCTTTTCAGAATTTGTTTTTCCTTTTGCTTCAGTACTTTTTTTCAAATGTACTACAACATTGCATGTGTGATTTTACAGATAATTTTAATATGAATGGTAGAGCTGACTCACTGAAGAATCAAAGAACTTAAAGAAATTTGCTGATAGAATATATACATCATGTATATTTGTGATTTAAGGAGTAATACTGAACTGCATTGCATTAAGGGAAAAACAGAGTTAGAACTGCCACAGTCTCGCTAAATTGTCACTTTGTACTAGATCATAGCAAGTGGAAGAGATTGGTTTGCTCAAGATGATATAAAAGCTGGAATTTCTTTTTGTCAGAGCTTGTGAGTAGATGGAGACTGGCTTGACTCCAGAGAAATGTTTATCTCATCAAGAAGTTTCCTTAGGAATTGAAATCAAGTATTTCATGGTTATGAAGCTGATAGCAACATTAAAAAAGTTCATAAAGAAGAAACATTAAAAAATGTTTTTCCTAAATTGTAATTTTATGTCTCGAGATGAGATGTGTGCATATATATGTGCCTTTGGCATTACAAACATTTGTTTCAAAACATGTCATAAAACTAGAAAGCTTGTCGAAACCTCCTGGAGTAAAGAAGACCCCAGGCAGATTGCATCCCTCAGAATGTGGATTGTGTGAGATGATGATGAACAATGTTTGAGGAGAAACATCTATAAGCACATCTGCAATCATCATCCTTATGATGGAAAAATGGGCAAGGGGTGTAAAAAGGAGTTTGGTTTATTAGGAGTTGTAACCTTTACTTTCTGTAACCTGTGGTGTAAGCTCCCCCTGGGAGTTTAGCTGCCTGTGTCCCCACGGTCCAGGGCTGTGGATTTTGGGTGATGTCCAGCTCCATAACCTTGGCTCATGCTGCTGAGGAGGAAGGACAGTGAGCAAGTCTGCAGGAAAAAAAAGAACAGTAAAATTTTATGTAGGATTACTGAGACAGGATCATTAGTAACTCCAGGATTCCAGAGGTAAATACCAATGTGGAAGATATAAAATCCTAAACTGGAAAAACAGAGGATCAAGTTGGGGCAGGAATTGCTGGGTTATCAGATCAGGACTGTAGTGCTGATGAAGCTGGTGGAAGATGGCAGCTCAGCAGTATTCAAGGATCTGTCTTGGGGAGTCCCAAAGGCTGACCTGTCCCAGGTGCTCGCCTCATCTCTGTGTTAGTCATTAATTGTTTTACACTTTTAAGTTTATACATCTTGCCTACAGCTTTTTTCTGCCCCCAGCTACATATCTATGCCACAACATAGTGACTTAAAAAAGGGGTGGTAAAAGAATATTTGAAGAGACATATGAGTATTAATAATAAGGTTTTGTTTTTGCCATCCCCAAATAATTAAAAATCAGTGAGTTTAGAGGTACAGCACGTATCTACCCCTGGCACTGAGGGCTTGTTTTGAAAGTGTGACAAGAGTGCTGTATTAGGCTTGTTCCTGTCCTCAGAGAAATCTTGAATGAGTGGTATTTGAAACTCGGGCTGCTTCCAGTGTTACTGATGCTTGAACAAATCATCGAGTGGGACTTCCTTAATGCAACAAAGCATCAACTGTCAAGCTGGTAATGCTGCTTTCTGCTGTCAAGTCACCTTGTGCCTGTAACTTTATTCTGTGATGTGACCAAAATGTGCTCACTACATCTATTCTATTCAGTAAATCAGAGCCTGTTGACATGGAATGCCTGTGCTCCATACAGCCTGGATGAAAATCTCTTAGCTCTGGCTTCTGGCTCTTTTAATTGTACTGAATGACTTCTTGATTTACTTTGAGTTTGTATAGAGATGGCTTCTGGTCAGTTATCTAGGTAATCTCGCCTGTTAATTCAAGGCAGTTCTGCCATCCTTTCTGAAGTGTTTTAAGCACCCTTCAGAAGAGTTACCACTCTATTAAATTTTAGCTCTCCATGTCTATACCACTGCTTCCTAGAGAAGTACTTTGATGCATTGTCACAGCTCACCTACTATGTTGTTGTTGTTGTTGTTGTCATCTTCTGTATGGTCCCCAAAGAGAGAGAACTGGGTGAGAAGATTTCTTTGGGTTGACTCAGTGTAGCCATTCTAATTGGGTGATGCTGGAGATAGGGAGAATGTGATGGTCACTGATGGTGAATACCATACCTCTGGAAGGAGATGCAGCTTTCATTGGTGGGGATAGGATTTTGTTCTCTCTTTGCTCTTCCTCACATACTGGATGGATGTCATCAGATGGCATAAGTGCAGCTCCTAAATCATGCCTAGGTCATGAGGTGAAATTGATGAGGCTTAGAAATAAAGAATTGTACCTTTGCACTTTTTTCCTTCCCTATTTCTTTAGTTCTTACCCTTTTCTACAATAAGAAGATATATTTGGTTTTGTTATCCTATTTTCTTATTTTTATCCCATACAACATGGAGTTAAGAAACTTCAGTTACTCAGATCTTGGTTGTACATGTATCTCTGTGTAACACACCCAGGCATCCACAGAAATCCTTGGCACTTTCAGAGTGTACGTGCAGTACTTTGCAGGGTTGGAACTTGACTTTGAAAGGAGTTTAATAAAAGTTAAAAATGAAAGTAAGAATAATTTAGGCTTTTTCTTGAGTGATGAGTGACTTGTGATTAGTAACACACTTCTTTTTAAAAAGACTGTCAAAGTAGTATTACCACCTATTAAAATGAATGTGCCAGCTTTAAATTAATAATCAATTATTCTTTTACTTTTTATAGTTGTCTTCTCTGAAGAAGAGAGAGAGCAGCTGAGAAAGTTCACAAATAAATCTTATATTCTGGATAAAAGAAGCCGTCATCATGTGTATCTTGGATTAATTGATATCCTTCTGGCGTATTGCTATGAAATCTGTGTCAATGAAGGAGACAATAATGTAAGTTTAAAAAACCAAAACAAGTATGTTTTGGGAACCTAGTGCTGAACCCCTGTACTGTCATTTAGGAATCTTACCTTTTAAAGTGAACTGACTTCCAAGCATTAAAAAATCTATAACTGAGTAAGTTAAAATGGAAGATTTTTGTATCTCTAGATCGAGCTGTTGGGAGGTATTTGGGGATTAATGTGATTTTTAAATACTTCAGTTCTTCTGGAGCAGCATTTTAGCTGTAGGAGAGAAGTGGAGATGCAGGAGACTCCAGACAGTTCTGTTACTGATTTGTGTTGTGGTGTGATGTGTCTTGATTTCTGTAAGTGCAAATTTCACAAAGTAATTGTTTGTCTGTAGTAATACCACTACTATTTTGGATTCTGAAAAAGCATGAAGAATCATTATGTCTGTAGGACTGGAACTTTGCGTACACTGAGTATGGAAGGTGTTTACTGAGGCATTCTGGAAACTAGTGAGACATTTAAATTTTTAAAAATTGACACACATTTAAAAAAAAAAATCCTAATGTAGAGTTTTCTTTTTCTAGTATTCAAACAATGGAGGGAAGTTATAAGGCAAGTTTCCATTTTCAGGATTCTGGTGTTTGCTCATCTCTTACACAAGTGGCAGCCAGCTTTATTTCGTGTTCTGTATCCTGGGCTTTTTACAGAATACAAATAATTGAGAAAATAGCAGAAGTTCAGAATGGATTCCATGCTGTGCTGAGGAAAGCTTGCCTTTTTGAAATGGACTTGCTTTCCAGCTACAACTTTTTGCCTTCTGATATTAACCAATGAGATGTTTTCTCAATGTTTTTAAAATATGAATACTGGAACATACAATCAAAACTGTTCTGTTTTAATCAGGCTGAACTGCGGGGCACAGGTTTTAGAATGACAGGCATAAATGGCCAGACTTGTTTATTCAACAGAATAATCTGAGGTGGTTGTTGCATTAGTGTTGCACAAAATTGCAAATATGCAAGGAAAACAGTTGTACAAATCTTTTTTGATCTTTGCAATAGCTGTATGATATATGTGGAAAACACAGTGTGAATTTTTTCACTTTCTTTTTTTTTTCCCCTTTTTAATAGGAAAACCAAGACATTCAGGCCACACAAATCTTTACTAGAGCCAGGATTATAGATCAAGGCTTCCTGGCTCTTTGCCCTAGTCATCCCACTAGGCCACACTACCACACAAATACTATGAATCTGTCACATTTTAAGAATAATGACATTTTACATGTACTGCTGGCTTTAGGACCCTCTCCTAAAGCCAAAAGTTTGGAGCTGTTTTCACGAAACGAGTCATTTTAGCTTGAGCTTTGTTGATTCAAGTTTCTGTTGCTTGGTGAAAAGGGACAAAATTCTACTAACATACCATTTTTCTGTGATTGCTTTTGTATTTTAAAGGCTTTATGCATGGGCTTAGATATTCCCAATATGGAAACCAGTTCAGTTATTTAACATCTGCATTGCAATATAATTTTTAATGCTGTCCTGTGGCCATTTCAATGCACATAATATAATTACTGCTTTATATTCACACAGGTTCTTAAATTGCTGCCAAAATGTTATCTTAAATAGTTTGCCAGCAGTCTTGAACGTTGAATTAGATAATACTTGTTTTATGGTCTCCTCTTAAAATCAGGTGGAATCATCTTGGAACGTCAGGAAACTGAGTGCAACGTTGTGCTGGCTGGAGGTAAGTTAAAATTTTAAGTTTTGCATTATGTGTTTGCTGTATTATTTGGTTTTGGTATTTCATGTTGCTTTTGTGGCAAGCTTACTCTTTCAATGTTAGAGATTAATTAAGTGTATGTCATCATTTAATAAATGTTACAAGAAAATGATTGTCACTTCTGGGCTCCCAGCTACTGGTAGCCTCAAGAGTGGAGTGTGACCTCTTGTCTGGGTGCTGGGCTGCCTTCTGGCCCTTTTTGGAAAAGCTGAGGATAGGCACTACAAAAAAAGCTGCTCGTCTACACACTGTTCCTAGCTCCTGGGCTTGATTCACAAGTTCTAACGTTTATTTAGGAAGTAACTGTAATTATTCCTCACATATGTCCACAGTATGTGTGTGTAACTCCATGCTTAGGGCAAGAAAATTCAGCCTTCTGGCTCCCTGATCAGAAGTTGTAGATATCTTCCCATTTAACTGGATAAAGCAGGTTAAAACAGAAAGGGCATCAAGAGCATAAAAAGCAGATGATGTAAATTCATAGTGTTCTTGTGTCTTTTAAGTCCTACCTCAGATACATCTTTTAATAACTTTTGAAGATGTCAGGCCTTATTAAAGCAGCTTATTGTTCACTTCTGGGGGTTTTGACTGCTGAGCCTTTCTTCAGCCTTCCTACTTCATCATTTGGCACTTCTAGCTTGTTCTTTTTCTTGGCTGCAAATCAGGTGGCTTCTGGCTTCTCCTCCATTCTGCTGTGTGGCTTCAGAGTACATTGGAGAGTGGAACTGAGAAGGCCAGAAGTAAATGCAAACCCAGTGATAGGAAAAACTCCTAGAGGTTTGGTTTGGGGTTTTTTTTTTTCACCTATCATGGAGAAGCTGAATTCCCTATTCTTGTAGCAAAAAGACCCGAGTTCCATAGTTGTAAAACTGTTGTCTCATTAAGGCTTTAATGATTGTGTCATTTTTTTATTATTATTATTATTTTTTTCCCCCAGACAAGTGCTGAAATCTTTTGTTTCAGGTTTCTTGCAGAGTTGGTCAGTGGACATGTGTTGCTTTACTCACCCCCCTCTTTTCAGTGTTACTGCTGCATCTCTATTTGTTCAGTTGCTGCTAACCCTTTGAAACCAAATGGACTAGGTGAAACACACAGAATTCTATTCTTTGCACTTTCAGGTTGTTTACTGAAAGCACACAGGCCTGTGTAATTAAAATGTTACAGAGCTGGAAGTGGAGGGGACTTAACCTGGCCTGTAATCCATTATTTCTTAGGATGGCAGCAGGCTAGAAAGGACTGTCCTGCCCTCGCTCCTGAAATTACTGAGCCAAGTATCAACGTTTGCAGGATCAAAAAAGAAATTTCTGACAGGATTTTTGGGTTCAGTCCTTCAAATATATCTTCTAGTAGTGGTCAATGTTATATTCAGTAATAACTTGTTCTACTGACAACTGGTTTTATAGATCTGTGACTTGTAATTTCTTTCCAATGGCACGTTCTGTGGTAGCCAGTCAGGGGAGTGCAGTTACAGTGCAATGGTTGCCTTAACTCTCTGAGTTTTTTTTTCAGATCCATATCTGACGTAGCAAAGGAGTTTTCTGTATGTGCTTATCCTATAATCTAGCAGTTCTTGGCACAGCCTGTGCCAACAGTATATTTCACACCCAGAAAATTCAGTCTCCTGGCACCGAGCTGTTAATAACTGTATCTGTTATACAAACCATGTAGAGGCGGGTGTTTGCATCAGTCTGTAAACAGAATTGCCTCAGCTATAGTTTGTTTGAACTGACTGCCATTTTGCTGTGTGTGACATGTACACACCTTAGACTTTAAATATTAAATAACAAAATATAAATTATTTAAATGCTTAGTGGCAATATATTAAAATAAAAAATGAGTTGAGGTAGTCATAATGCAAAAAAGTGCTGGCTGTCAGCAAAGCATTTTTATTAATTTTAATAAATTGACAGTTCAAGATGAAATAGGTATTTCTATTTGAATTAATAAATGGAATGTTTTGTCTTGAAAAGTGAAAGCTGGAAAGGAAATCACTCTCTTAAAGTCTTTAATAACTCTTTAGTGCCTCTGGCCTGAGTAAATTAGAGGTCCTCCTCACTTGTAAAGGAGGACAATGAACTGCTTTCCCTAGGCAGATATATTTATCCCTCTCTTGAATATCTATAATTTTCATGAAAGGCAGAGTCATGTATAACTTTTAAAGATCTTATATATACACATGTATTTTGTTAATATCATATGGTTTTAATTTTTCTTGATTCTTAAAAGGCTTTTTATAGCTTCCCCTAAATATATATAATAATATGGGGCAGATGTAATTTATTGCTTTAATCTAAATAATGGCAAAGTCTTGAGATAGATGTTTTATTCTAATATTCTCTACATTCTTTTTTTTAATTCAAATCCACTAAAATGTATAGGACTAACGTTATCCTGACATGCAAACTACATGTGCAGTGTCTTGTTTCTATTTAACATCTTGATTTCCATATCTATTAAAAGAGAGGGGTTTTTTAGATGCATAATATATTAAAATGTGCTTTTTTTATGCTGCTATGACTTTTTACCTTAAAGGAAAACAAACAAAAAACTAATTCTTTGTGTTGAAAAGCACACAGACTAATTCAGGTTTTTCACTGATACACGCAGAGTTTCACTAGCATTCATGATGTCCTGGTATCTTTTGGAAGAAGAGTGCTTTGCTATCCCCTATACAGACACTTTGGATTAGTGACACGTGCCTTCAGTGATACAGTCATGATACTGCAATTAGGTAAGTTTTTTAGGGATTGTCTATAGTGATGTCTATATGGCCACATTCTTTGCATGTTGGGTTTTTTAACAACTTTTGAATAATATTTTTATATAAAGAATTAAATTTTTAAAATTAATTTTTTTAAATAAAAAGTTTTTTTAAAAAACCTTTTTGAATCTCTTGGCCAGTTTCACCCAAAATTAGTAGATACTAATATTTCTGTACCTCTTGTGATGTTGTGAAAATGGGACTGGGGAGAGAAGAGAACAAAATTAGTGTCTGTACCAGGAAAAAAGCCCCTGAAGCAGCTAATTGATTGGACAGTGGATAATACATGCAGTTGTGGTATAAATTCAGCTGTATTATTCACACCAGAAAATCCATGCAGAAGAGATGTTATGAATGTCTCATTCTTAGAAAAATCTTTTATCAGATCTTGTATATTCACAAGTCAGAATAGTCCCC